ATTTATTATAGTGTTTTGGTGAAGTTGACGAAGAGATTGACATAAAAATTGGTAAAAAAAAAACATTAAAAAAGGGGGAAGCACTATGTTAAAAGTTATTGATCTTGTTACACATACAGATCGGGCGTTACTTTTTTGAGGCGACTGTACATGTACACATGTAAGAAATTCTAATAATGGTCAAGCCAAGTCTCGTGCAACAAATCTCCCCCTGTTAGGAAAACAAGAGAAAACTTAATTGATTAGTGATATTAGCAATGCTGTTAGTCTGTTAGTAAATATCACCATTGACCTAATTGATCGCAAAAAATGGTTTATCGAACAATTATTGATGGTGGTCAATGAAGTCACAGTTTAGAATGATTCGTCGTACTCGGAAAAAGAGTACATTTAATAAATTTCTTATAAATCATAAAAATGAAGCATTCATTTATTTATGAAATAATTATATTATTTAATTTATCCTTCTTTCTAACAGTATTAGACTGATGGCTATTTAAAGTTACTTAACGATGTAGATTTGTTTAATTTTTTGTTCTTGGATTCTTAATCCAATATAAATGTATGCGTACAATAGATACGTAATGAAAAATTTGCTACATTCGAAAAGCGACCCACAAATTTTAACGCACAGATTTCTGAAAAATCATGTTCAGGAGGAGGAAGACTATACTAACTGGTTCAACGCATTAAGTAAAAGAAAAAACAAAGCCAGTTTGTACAGAAAACGCTCATAATACATGTTACATTGATTCTTGTTCTATCGTTAAAAATTTAAGCATATCCTTGTCATAGCATGCAACCATATTATTTCAAGATCATATGGTCGCTTTATTGTGATTAATTTATCGTTATTAAGAAATGTGGCAAAGCTGAGAAATTTGTAATCAACCAAATAAGGGAATGATTGAAAAACCATAATTAATTTCAAGTATATATACGTATTTTCCTACTAATCAAACAATAAAAATCATTTTTTTTGGTAAATCAATTATTTCCAATTTCGGCATTTTCGCTTATACATGCAATTGGCATGGTCTCGATTAAACAGCAATTGACGTTATTCAGCCACAGGCAATGATCAAAAGTTTTACGATCTGCGGTACTTTATTGGATGTGAATAAGCTACATGTATTGAAAGAGAATTTGAAAGTGACATGTGTAATACTGCTTCGAAATCGTTATATACGCAATCTTGACATCACGATAACCGCGCAATTTTACGCCGTGGAAAGATTCTTAGTTTAGAATGAACTATCACTATAGATTTAACCATTTTGTATTTTTAGAAATTAAAATTGATTGTTGCAAATTTTAACATGTCTTTAAAATCCGCGAAAGATTTTTAAAAATACTTGTAGCACTAAGCCTTCTTATATTATCGCTAGAAGCCACAAAAGTCTAGCACAGCCGTTTAATGATAGACAACAACTCGCGAGCGATTTGTATAAAAGGGATGAATGCATCGCACCTTGTAATTACCTTTAACAAACGACAACAAGAAATAAAATCTTCTCTATTTCCATTCTAGCATTTTAGCTATCTTTAAAAGAGCAAATCATTTTTTTAAGTTTCTTATATTTATAAAAAAAATCTAACAATAAAAATGGTTAAAACCAATCTTACCTACCTTGCTCTTTTATCTTTGGCGCTTTCGGTCTCAGCTAGAAGCGTTAAACGAGGATCCGGTAATGGTAACGCCAACGGGAACGGAAACGTTGGCAATGGTAATGGAAATCTCAACGGCAATAACAACGCTGGTAACCTCAATGGTAATGCCAATGGAAATAACAACTGGGGTAGCTTAAATGGTAACGCCAATGGAAACAACAATGCTGGATCGTTAAACGGTAATGTCAATGGAAATAACAATTGGGGTAGTGCGAATGGTAATCTCAGTGGTAATGACAATTTGAAGCGAGAGCCCTTTCAACAACATTGGAGGCGTGACTTCAATGGTAACGGCAACGGAAACGGAAACATAGGTAGTGGTAATGGAAATCTCAATGGAAACGACAACGTTGGATCTTTCAATGGTAACGCCAATGGAAATAACAACGTGGGTAACCTAAATGGTAACGCCAATGGAAACGCTAATGTTGGATCTTTCAACGGTAATAAAAATGGAGATTTTAATTGGGGTAGCGCGAATGGTAACCTCAGCGGTAATAATAATGTTAAGCGACTTGAATATAAACGAGGATCTGGTAATGGTAACGCCAACGGTAACGGAAACATTGGCAGTGGTAATGGAAATCTCAACGGCAATAACAACGCTGGTAACCTCAATGGTAATGCCAATGGAAATAACAACTGGGGTAACCTAAATGGTAACGCCAATGGAAACAACAATGTTGGATCGTTAAACGGTAATGTCAATGGAAATAACAATTGGGGTAGCGCGAATGGTAACCTCAGCGGTAATAATAATGTTAA